TAAACTGTGACTCCAAAAATAATATTCACTGACACTGACAACAGCAATCAAAATATCAGGTGCGTTTTAATCATCCACTTCTGCTTCCGGAATTGTCGGTTTAGTCGTTTTAACCTGTTAGATTAAAACAAGAAAACCGACAATTCCGAAGCAGAAGCGGATGATTAAAACGCACTTATTAAAAATATTGCGCCAAAATGTAGGCAACACGTAATAAGGGATCAAAATGGCGGAGCTTTCTATCTACTTTTAAAAGGCACTCAGAAAGCTGCGCAGTGCGACCATTCTCCGTATAGTAAAAGAAAATCAAAGTATGTGGGCGGCTGATAAGGGTGTCGAGGACCAAGTTCCACTCTCATATTTGCATCTTCTACACTTATGTTTACGTCTCGCTTTGAGAGTATGTTATGTATCCATCCACTAACCATCTGTGGAACATTCCTGTTGGTTAGTGAGTGTATTATATTGGGGAAGGTGGTTTTATCAAAAGCACCTTCTACGTCTATGAAAACACCCAAGGCGGATTCTTTATTATCCAGGGATCTCTCTATCCGGTGAGCAACTAGATGAAGGGCTGAATCAAAAGATCTGCCTGGGGTGTATGCACGTTGGTTTGGATGTAGTGGTGTTGTAATCACCGCATCCCTTATGTACCTTTCGCATAGCCTGTCCAATGTCTTCATGGGGAACGATATCTGACTGGTCGGTATGTTTTTGGTACAATGTAATCCATCCTTCCAGGTTTGGGTATGAATGCCACTTTTACTATTTTGTTGAGATATACCTCAGAGCCAACGAGGATCTGAATATACCCACCAGATGTGATGTTAAGTTAGTTCTTCAAGACCCCACTGAAGTAGGGCTGGACAGATACCGTCAGGTCCTGGCGATTTAAATGGAGAGAAGCTGGATATTGCCCGTCTAATTTTGTTATCGTCTACAATGTATTTGGCAGTTTGCCAATCGTAGACAGATGGGTTGTATTTTTCCTCTACCCAGTCGGCCACGTCTGTGATGGCCGAGTGAGGGAAGTGTGTTGACAGCATAAGTTTGATGCTATCTTCGAGATTGGCAGTTTTCATGTCATCCTCTTTGATTACCGCACCAATGCTTCGGTGTGTATCTTTTGAGAGAGCTTTTTGAAGCCTTGCTGCCTGCGGGAAATCTTCGAATTCTTCGCAGTAGAATTTCCATGCATCTCTTTGTTTTTGTCTGACGATTTTTTTCTTTTCTCTGAGGTGAGATTTGTAAGTATCCCAGTCCTCTTTGAGTTTTGTGGTTCTTGTCTTATTAAAAGATTTCCTAGCCATCTTTCTGACGTGATCCAACTCGTGACACCACCAGTCATCTGATCGTGTTGGACCAGCCTCAGGGGACAGAATTTCTTATAGACATTGCTTATTGTGCTTTGGATAGTGTTCGAGTACTTCTCCAAAGCGGACGGACGGATATTTTTATAAGTTTAAAATTTGATGAGAATGATTTTGGTACAATTTTCAAAATAAAATTATTAAAAATTTTGGTTTCTCGAAAGTAAACCTATAATACTCTTTACAAACTACTTTGTGAAGAGTATAATAAAAGATAACAAAAAAGTAGTGTGAACTTTGCTAATCAGAAATAAATGCACAAGAAAAAAATCACAAAAAGAAGTAATAGATTATGATATAAAATAGTTTACCAGTTAATTTTTACAAGACATTTATAATATCTACCACCTTTGAGTTTTTAATAACGGAATATGCTAAAAAAGATCATTTAAATTACCTATTGGAAATGACTAGGTAATGTAAAATATTATTAAAACTTAAAAAGTATTTTGTAGTAGTTTTGTTTTGTGTCAAAATTATGTATGGTAGGTTAGCCAGCCATACTTCTTTGGTATACATTTGCACAATGCTAATTGAACAAATTTATCGTTCTTTGTTGCCTTGTAGAAGATGAAAATACCTTGCTGCAGACGCACTAGCGGTCAAGAACTCGATAATATCACAAAAAAAGTCGTTGTAGAAAATGCTAATGTCAAAAATGAAAAAAATACGACTATTACTGTTTATTTATTTTAAATACATTTTATTTATCATAATGTAACACCTAGAGTTAAGGCAATTCGTAAATATTTTCGCTATTTATTTTGTATTATTTTGATAACAATTCAGAATCAGTTGCGGCAAGTGGTAATTTAAAATAGGTGTTCAATTTTTTCAATAATTTTAATAATAATTTGTAAGTTCGGTTCAAAACTGTGTACAAGAGCCAATATCGCTGTTTTTTATTTATTATTATGATCAATAACATTCTGTTTTCAAGCACTACAACTATTAATGAATATTTTAGTCATTGTAATATTGGTTTTATTTTTAATACGTTGAAAACCATCTATAAACATTATTAGTTAGCCAACTAACATGTCTTCATAATATAAGATTATTTTTAAATATTTATCAAGTTATGTAGAAAGCTTTACATGGATTTTTGTGTAAAAAATATTATTATATGAAACTTTACCTACCATTTTTCAGTTTTTATTGTAAATTTAATCATGTTCACAATTTGTCACACCTGCCAAATAAAATAATATATTTTTTAAATACCTTTTATTGGCAACTAAAACTAAAATGTTTATTTTATAAGATCAGGCCCATCACAATATATAATATTGTTACGAATTAATATAACACCCTGTGAATAGGTATGTTATGATTTGTAAAGTTTTGTCCAAGGGCAGGCGCGCTAAACACAGATTCAATAAAATAATAAAACGTGTAGTTGGACAAGGTTTTATTAAATCATAATATTAAAGTACAGGGTCAAGAAAGATCAACAAGAGCACTCTTGAAACATTACAAGTGAATATTCGGAGAGTTCCTTTTGGTCTTCGTTGACAAGCGGTCGAAGTTATTCGAATTAAGTAGATTCATTTTTTTTGTGTCCGAAAGTAGAGTCACGGATCACGATTAGTTTTTTTTTGTAAAACCATAGTGATAAAAGTAACGTGTGCTTCCGCCAGCCTTGCAGCCCAACAGATAGAAGACAATGCTTATGTAAGTAAATAGTTTTAAGTAGTTATATTTAGTTATTGTGTAGTCAGTAAAGACTACGTGATTGCGGAAGCAATATTAGTTGTTTTTATTTGTTAAATAAATCACAGTTATTTGTTTTACGCTTGTTTCAATTTTCTTTGGTTTATGAAAACTTACGATCATTCAAAGGCGGGGGTATTGGCTTAGTCAGATCTCTGAGAGAGGGAGATACTGCCAAAGGGAAGAGTCCCCCGCAGGGCAAACCCTTTCCCCGTCCTCTGAATCATTGTCAGGAAGTTAGGGTCCCTTCTGAACTTAACCCACTAGCCGTGTGTTGTCTAGAGGCCAATTTAAATACAAATTGGGCCCCTCTATATAACTCGTGGTTACCGCTAAGAGTGGACTTAAGGGTCAGTCAAAAGGCCCATAATCTCACTCTTAACAATATTACACAGATACAAACTAGAATTAAGATATATAACGTACGTATTGTACTAGACTGGCAACACTGGTTTGACAAGGTTCGTATGCACTGCCCTATTTTGTGACGTCACACCTTGTTTGTGTGCGACACGCAAAATAACATTTCACGGATCTGTTGACGTGTCGACCTCTCTTTTTAGCTACATGCATTCGCGAAAACCTCTTGCTCGTCTGGGCTTACTCATCATACTGTGCCACAGAGACGCGATCAGCCAGAGCGCAATGGTGTACTAAAATACGTATGAAAATAAAAATATTAAAATTACATTTACATTTTTATGTTATTTATGTAATTTTAAAATAATGTGTTTTTATGAAATTTGACTGTTTTCAGTACACGAATGAACCAATGAAGAAACCGCCCCTGTTCAGAATAGTACAAAATAAATTGCTGGAAGATAAACGGATTGTCTAACTGAAGGGGTTACAAGAAACGACCCACAAAAAATGTTTCTAAAGTAGGCCTTAGACAAATTAACGTGTTTTGAGCGAACAATAATTAATCTGCTTTCTAATTGTCAGTTAATTTAGAGCCGCTCGTAGTTATCACGAACATGACTCGTATCTCTTCAGAGACATTTTTTATTGATCACTCTTTATTATAATAAATTAAATTATTTAAAATAAAAAACAGGAACAGTCGTATTTTTCATCTTTTTTCCAAAAAATAAAAATTGATTCCTTGTACCGAAATCCGAAGTTGAGCGCGCTAACGGCCTGAGCCATGTCATGCCACGCTTATGTCAAAATAATTATATAACCAAATATATGACATTAGTATTTTTTACAACAGCTTTTTTAAATTCTATTCGCTGAGTGCTCCAGCATAGCAGCAAAGTATTTAGATGTTCTACATGGTGAGAATGAACGAAAAATTTCCAATTTCGGCTTACGCAAATAACACAAACTGGCTTTCCTAGCAATACAATTCTTAAGAGAAATTGCGACGGTTTTGTTTTTGCAAACAAAAACATCCAATGTTTACAAAGAAATATCGAATAACTTAATTTCAACTAAATAAAACTAGAGCTAGGAGAAACGCACTGAAACACTACTGATTCCTACATTACTGGGTACTTCTTTTTTACATAAAAAAATATATTACTTTTTTAATTGTTCGCTGTGATTTATGATATTATGAACAAAATTAATTATGAAGTGATTGTGGATGAAATTAAATTTATAGTGCCACAAAAAGTGATATTAAATTTGGCAAAGGATATTTTTTTTTTGGAAATTAGTGGCGTGACGATGGTGATAAAACTTACTTGCATCACGTTCTTTCCATCCTACAATAAGCATAAAACAGGAAGAGAAGAAATTTATTTAAAATGTTGGAATTTGTTATATCTATATACTTTGCCTAATTCAGACAAATAAAATTATCTATTTCATTTCCAGTTCTACTGGTGTTTTTATCTGTGGTAAATACTTGAAGAAAATTCTTTAATGATATTTTTAAATAACGAATTATGAATAATTAGCCATACATACCTATTTTACTTGAGGCCCCGTCTTTAGATACTTTAGATCCTAAATGTCCTCTATCCGCTTCGAAAACTTCTCTTCTAAACTGTGGGTCTGGTTCTACTGGTGGATACAAAACCTCTGGCTGTTTCTTGAATACAATCTACAAATGTATGTATTATTTTACCTTTGAGTACAAAATATAAATACATTATAAAACAATAGGATAAATATGTTCAGAAAAACATGTACCTTCATGACTGTGTAAGTGAAAAATACAACGATACCAATGGTATAAATTGGCATTATCAGCCCCATACTATTGCCAGCATGTTTGGAGGGTGGTACCACATGCCCAGCGCCACCTATTGTTGGCCTCATTCCGGGAATTGGCCCAGGCTGAAAAAAATACGGATTTATATAATATAAGGCATCAATATTTAGAGAAACGAATTTGTCAGTTCTAGTTTCAAATTAATTGATCAGGAGCAGCAGCCAATACAGGGTTTTTCATTAATAATGGGAAATCAAACTCAAATGTTGATGATTTAGTAAATACAAGATATAAGGTGTTGAAAGTCAAAAATTCGACCTGTGAACATATTTCTTCTACCTGCGCACTGGTGGGGATTTTGGAAAGACACCACGCAACTGCGCAAGACCGCAATATCGGTGGCGACTTATCCTAAGGGGGCAAAGGGTAGTGGAACTAGCGCAATAATGCCGGTCAATAATTATTTTTTATTTTAGTTCTATTATTATTACAATTGTCGGGTCAAATGCCCAAACGATGCATACATAAATTATTTATCATTATGTAATTTGACACCGACGAAAAAATTCGTGTCGTGTTATTTCACAGCAGAAAAACATATTGTTTCAAGACACAACAAATGATTCAACCTACTGACTCAACTGACTGGATTGACTATATTTCGTCCGAGCCACATCTCACAATAGCCCAGCCGGCTAGCAGTCCAAAATACGTGGGGGGATCAATTATGAACCGACCTTTCCGGCCTGTGAGTAACATACACGCTGGAGAGAGGTAAGGAGTTATGTGAGGGGGGAGGGTAGTCTGATGTGTAGCGACATGTCGGTACCTGTCCTGCAGCTGCACACAGTATTATTACGATGAGCGGGAGACCAGTACCAATTTTCGTTGCGCAACGCATCGTCATCAAATTTCTTACCAACGAACATGTTGGCCCCAGGGCCGACAAGAGGGGGTAGCCGGGGCTAATTCCCGGGGCCCGGGCTCAAGTAAGGGCCCGACAGCGGCATAAGGGGGGCCCTGCAGCTGTGGGTGAGGACGGTTTTTATTTTTGTAGGTTCTGTTTTTTTTTAGAGATTTCACTAAAGAGAAGTTTTTACTTGAAGACTTTTTTTTAGAGCGTATAGTGACCTGTGATGAAACTTGGGTGCACCACTATACACATGAGCCCAAAAGATCAAGTAAGGAGTGGAGACAAAAAGGCGAAGCTGGCCCAGTAAAGGCAAAAACTCGTCTGTCTGCGGGTAAAGTTTTAGCGACAGTTTTTTTGGGATTATAGAGGTGTTTTGTTAGTGGATTTTATTCACGATAGATGAACCGTTAATGCAGCTTATTATTGCGATTTTTTGGAGCGTGTTCGAGCAGCTCACCGATCCAAAAGACGGGGATGTCCGGTACGACAAGTGCTGCTCTTGCATGACAACGCTCGATCGCATACAGCTGTACAAACTCAAGAAAAAAATCTGATGTGTCCAACACATGACTGTCATATCTAGTTATTATAGGCTTTTTCCGGTTATTTTGTACAACCTATTGCAGCACCTCTATAAATATTTAGAGGATAAACTAAATATATACATTTTCCACATACATCTACCTCGAAACATTTTTCTATAGATATTCATTGAAAACGAAAATACTGAAAAATTAATATTTAGCACTATTTCTCCAATTTTTCCATTACGGTTCATTTTCGAAAAATCATGTAAAAACAAAAATTATAGAGATCAATATCGCAATATAACAACTTTTTTCTATAGATATTCATTGAAAACGAAAATACTGAAAAATTTAAATTTAGCACTATTTCTCCAATTTTTCCATTACGGTTCATTTTCGAAAAATAATGTAAAAACAAAAATTATAGGGATCAATATCGCAATATAACAACTATTTGTTTAACAATTTTCTTAAAAATCAGAATTTTGCACATTTTGTCAAATTTCTCGAATACGGACCATTTCAGGAAAATTTGACATAAAACAAAAATTATAGATAATAATATTAGAAGTAACTTTTAATTGAACAATTTTCTTCTCCAAACATAAATAACAGATATATTCCATAAAATATAAAAACGGACCCCCATAAAGTACCCCCCAGATGTTCCGACTTTGTCCAAAATCTAATCATTTCACGTCAGGCCGAAATAAACCTTAAGTTTAAAATTTAATGTTTTTTCTTTATCCATTTTTGAGTTTTCTTCAAAATTCGAAATTTACACATTTTCTCAAATATCTCGAATACGGTCCATTTTAGAGAAATTATGTATAGAATAAAAATTATAGAGAATTAATTATATTACAAACAACTTTTATTTGAACAATTTTTATAAAAAATTATTTTTTTTACATTTTGTCAAATTTCTCGAATACGGACCATTTTAGAAAAATTTTGTATATAACAAAAATTATAGATAATTATATTAGAAGTAACTTTTATTTGAAGAATTTTCTTCTCCAAACGTAAATAACAGATATATTCCATAAAATATAAAAATGACCACCTATAAAGTACCCCCTCAGATGTTCCGACTCTGCCCAAAATCTAATCAGCTCATCGGACGCTGAAACAAAGCTTAAGTTTAAAATTTGGTGTTTTTCTATGTATCGGTTCATGAGTTATGCGTTACACACACACACACACACACACACACACACACACACACACACACACACACACACACACACACACACACACACACACACACACACACACACACACACACACACACACACACACACACACACACACACACACACACACACACACACACACACACACACACACACACACACACACACACACACACACACACACACACACACACACACACACACACACACACACACACACACACACACACACACACACACACACACACACACACACACACACACACACACACACACACACACACACACACACACACACACACACACACACACACACACACACACACACACACACACACACACACACACACACACACACACACACACACACACACACACACACACACACACACACACACACACACACACACACACACACACACACACACACACACACACACACACACACACACACACACACACACACACACACACACACACACACACACACACACACACACACACACACACACACACACACACACACACACACACACACACACACACACACACACACACACACACACACACACACACACACACACACACACACACACACACACACACACACACACACACACACACACACACACACACACACACACACACACACACACACACACACACACACACACACACACACACACACACACACACACACACACACACACACACACACACACACACACACACACACACACACACACACACACACACACACACACACACACACACACACACACACACACACACACACACACACACACACACACACACACACACACACACACACACACACACACACACACACACACACACACACACACACACACACACACACACACACACACACACACACACACACACACACACACACACACACACACACACACACACACACACACACACACACACACACACACACACACACACACACACACACACACACACACACACACACACACACACACACACACACACACACACACACACACACACACACACACACACACACACACACACACACACACACACACACACACACACACACACACACACACACACACACACACACACACACACACACACACACACACACACACACACACACACACACACACACACACACACACACACACACACACACACACACACACACACACACACACACACACACACACACACACACACACACACACACACACACACACACACACACACACACACACACACACACACACACACACACACACACACACACACACACACACACACACACACACACACACACACACACACACACACACACACACACACACACACACACACACACACACACACACACACACACACACACACACACACACACACACACACACACACACACACACACACACACACACACACACACACACACACACACACACACACACACACACACACACACACACACACACACACACACACACACACACACACACACACACACACACACACACACACACACACACAGACATCATCGCGAAAATAGTCAAAACGGATTCAGGGGACCTCAAAACGTAAAAATCCGTCGAAAACTCAAGGTCGAAAAAAATCATGATTCCTATACTTTCCTAATATCTGTATACAGATAGGAAAGTAACTAGCAAACATGCATTGAACTGTTGCATTGAACTGTTATTGAAAACCCTCCCTATAGTCCAGACCTTTCTTGTACAATTTCTTGTACAATTTAAATTGTGAAGGAGCATACAGTAAATTGTTTTATTAGTCTAATAATATTGCTGTGAAATATATTTACAATGACATTTTTACATTTTAGGCACATTGCAGAAATGTTTCGTAATTAGAAATATTTCAATGTAACATTTTTAAAATATTTCCGAAATATATTTGTGCTGTATGGGAACACACCAAAAGTATTGTTTCACAATTTTTAATTTATTTAATTCAATAATTGAAGAAAACTTGAATTCATTCAATTTGGGGACCAAATATAAATAAATTTTTTTAACATTTCATACATCTTTCGAACATATAGTTGTTAGGCCTCATAATAAAAAGCCCTTCTACAGCTTCGACACTGAAACAGCCGCGATATGTTCTCATAAAAAGTTTTTTAGCAAACGCTATTTACGTATTTTGTATTAATTCTTTCAATTCACAAAGGGTGACATATTTTTTGTTATAACTATTCTTGACTTTCTAGACTTTTTTTTTAAAAGGCACTCTTGATTTATCATCGAAAAATTAATTGTATTTATAAAAACTGGAAGTCAAAAAATATATTTTTTATATCTTGCATAATTTGAATTGATTAGGTCATCTAGATTAAAAATAAGATCCATTCATGTAAAAATAGGATTTACCTATCCAAAAATATCTTACTGTGATGTAATCAAAACAAGAAGGTGCAAGGTTAATGTTTCTTTTATCCAGTCAATAATTAA